GGATCCAACCGCAGTTACCCCTGCCCCCAGTGAAGGTAATACTTGCTACTAGTGTGGGTGGCTAAATCAGAGTGGATCTGATATAAGCTTCACTAGCACCATGATTACACAAGAGTTAATCTAGCCAGAAGTAGTCCATGGTTAACAGGTATAATTCAAATAGAAAGTATATGAACCCTGAAACCAACAAAGGTGGTAGGTACAACATTACACCTTCAAGCAGCCGAGCCCGTTGGCAACAGACCCAACACTATCCGGCATAAGTGTACCCACCAACCGAACTAACTGGCACACACACACACACACACACACACACACACACACACACACACACACACACACACACACACACACACCTTGACCTTTGACGCCCATCGCCGGAGGCGATGATAGCAATGCTACGGCAGAAGCCATAGCAACTTGTGCTGGGATTACACCATTCAACAGCTTGCAAGGCTGAAGAATTGACCGTCACTATTCAGCCTGGTCTACACCATACAGCTATTTGGAGTGACATTTTCTGGCCAGTGAATCCCTATTTTTGGTCTTTTCATTTTTTTTTCCCGCACACACATCACACCACATACTCCGGCATGCACTGGCTGTTGGTAACCACCCAGGAGAATGAAAGAAAAGTCAGGAAGAGTCTGAGAAAGAGAAGAAAGACGTGTGTGACCATAATCGTCGGGAATCGAACCCGCAATCTATCGATTGGAAATCGCTGCACATACCACTGCACCATATGGGACACACACACACACACACACACACACACACACACACACACACACACACACACACACACACACACACACACACACACACACACACACACACACACACACACACACACACACACACACACACACACACACACACACACACACACACACACACACACACACACACACACACACACACACACACACACACACACACACACACACACACACACACACACACACACACACACACACACACACACACACACACACACACACACACACACACACACACACACACACACACACACACACACACACACACACACACACACACACACACACACACACACATGCAAACACACTGTGGCACAGTGGCACGAGACTTACGAGTGGCCAGTCGTCGCTTAAGATCCTGCTCTTCCATTCTCAACATGTCGATTTGGTCATCAGCCTGCCAAGACACACATGAAATACAAGAGATATGAGGCAACAACAGGTACGCAATTGACTACAAAATAATAGTATATATGGCACATTAAAACATCAATACGGCGGTTTAGCATTACAGATTTCGTGTTCGAGTTCGCGTGCAGTTGAAACTGAACCCGAACACGAAATTCGTTTTCATCGAGAGGATTTGAGTGTTTGCGCAAGCGCAAAATACCCGTGATTTTCAGGGGAAAAAAATATTAGCGCCAACATTTTTTTATTTACTTTTCCACTTTTGAAAATGGCAAGCTAGCTGGGTAGCACTATAGCATAGCGTTGAAGACTCGCTTCCAGTAGCCTTTTGCATCTCATCAGCTTTTTGGTTTGATTCAGCCTGAAATGGATGTCGACTTCCTTTAATACCGGCCTCCTTCTAATTAATTTCGATGACATCGATGAAGAAGCACTGTTGCTTTTGCCCTTGGCATTACAGGACAAAGCCCGATGTTTGCATTAAAGAACACAACCCTACGTTTGCATTACAGGACACAGCCGTACGTTTGCATTACAGGACACAGCCGTACGTTTGCATTACAGGACACAGCCCGATGTTTGCCTCCGACTATTCCCGATCAGAGGATACGTCTCCGGGCCCTAGATGATGACTGCTGCCTGAGACGGTTCCGATTCAACAAGGCTGAACTGAGACAGAGGTGTACCGCTCTCCGAATTGCAATAATTATTATTATTTATTAAATTTTTAATAGGGCATTCCCACAGGCTTAGGGCCCTCTTACGGGGTACCCTATATATTTTTGTATGGATGAGCGGAAGTCTGATAGCGTGCAATTGACACATAACACGTGTGTATTCAGGATCTGCCTTTTTCTCCACATCAACGATATTGGAGATTGTTACATTATGCTCAAGAAAAAGTAACGCTGTCTTTGATTGTGTTATGATAGCAAACACTAAATGAACAACTAGACTGATACGGCACTGCACCATGCAATGATAGTACACACACACACGAAACACACGTCAGTTATCACAATTTCACAAGTCAATTTAACTGCCGGCTCAAAGGCATGTGCAGTCTACGTACGACCAGGGGTCACCAGTGCTATAAGTAAGCATCAGCAAAGACTGCACCCTCCACTCTACACTCTGCATTGCGCACTCCACACTCTGCATTCTACACTGTGCGCTCAGACTCTACACTCCACACTCTGCACTCTACACTCTGCATTCTACACTCAGACTCTACACTGTGCACTCTGCTTTCTACACTCTGCATTCTACACTGTACACTCAGACTCTACACTCCACACTCTGCACTCTAAACTTTGCACTCTACACAGCCACATCATTGATAATCAATGATATCCGATCGCGTGAGTCAAGTTTGCGCCATGCGCCTACTAGTAGCTCCCAGCCCAGTGTTGGCAGGTCTAGGGCTGTACAGTGCGTGGTATTGACCCGCTTGATCGGATTTCGTTGAGCACAGCACTGCACATGTGGATGTGCATGTCATGTACTGGTGTGGACATTGACATCTGCTGAGAAGTCAAGTGGCCACGGGGCGCTGGCCTTGCAGCCTCGAGAACTACTACATTTTTTTACAGCGGCTACGTGCACTACAGTGCATGTACGCGCTAAAGCAGTAAGGACGCCGGCCCTGGTCATCCCATTGGGTATCAATGTCCACGACAGTACATGTATACATGATTGTGTGTATACATGCTTACATGCACATATGCATACATGCAGGCTTACCTTGGGTAGCACAAGCTGATTTCCAAACCACATGATGATGTGCTCGATACCCACTGGCAAGCTAACTGTACAACAACAACAACAACAACAACAACAACAACAACGACGATGACAACAACAACAACAACAATTCTCTTATTGGCCACTGGCTATCGTGAGAATAAAGATTTGAAACAACAACAACAACAACAACAACAACAACAGCAGCAGCAGCAGCAACAGCAGCAGCAGCAGCAACAGCAGCAGCAGCAGCAACAACAGCAGCAACACATACACATATACACATAATTATACATCCACATAGACATGGACAATGATAAGAAGACACACGGCAACCTGGACAACCAAAACTGCAGCATGAACATCAGAAGGAGCACCCACAGCAGCAGCAGCAGTTGCAGCACCTACAGAAGAAGAAGCAGCAGAAGAAGCAGCAGCAGCAACAGCAACAGCGACAAAAGGCACAGTACTTACGCAAAGTGCACAGAACTCCACATAGGGACACAAACGAATATAGGAGTGGAAAGACGTTGAGGTACGTCCCGTCTGTATGCAAGAAACACACACACACACACACACACACGCACACACACACACAACACACGCATGTACGCACACACACACACACACACACACACACATACACACATACACACACACACACACAAGTGTGCGCACACATACACACCCACGCACATACACACACACACACATACACACACGCGCGCGCACGCACACCCACCCACACCCACACGCGCATACACACACAACACACACACACACACACACTCACGTGCGCACAAACACACACACACATATATATTTGTCAGGGACAACCAAAGCACACAAGACGTGACCAGGGAAAACCCCATGGTGCTGCTCTGTGCTAAGGATAGACAGTCATGTGGGGCACATCACGATCGTCCACTGTAGTTGTATTACCATGGACAGTAACGACAAGACCTAGATTACAATGCAGACATTCTTAGATTCAGCCCGGCTGACTTTCACCCACATTTCCTTTATGTGTATGCTGGCAATCAGCCCAATACGCTTGGCAACGGTAGGTGTATGTGCCCGGATCCAGGGAGTGGAGTGTCTGCACAGTGTACAGTGTACAGTGTACACTGTACAGTGTTACTGTCATAGTGTACATGTACCAGCTTACCTAGTCCGTCACCGATGGATAGCCAGCTGGAGATCAGCCACACCAAACAGATGAGCAAGGTCAACAGCAGGAAGAGTGTGACCAGTGTTTCACACACTCGGGAGTGAATGCCCTAACAACAACAACAACAACAACAACAACAACAACAACAACAACAACAACAACAACAACAACAACAACAACAACAACAACAACAGCAGCAGCAGCAGCAACAGCAGCAGCAGCAGCAGCAGCGACGACGACGACGACAACAACAACAACAACAACAACATCACCACCAACAACAGTAGCAGCAGCAGCAATGACGACGACGGCGGCGGCAGCAGCAGCAGCAACAAGAACAACGACGACAACAACCATGACAAGACGAGCGGCAACAGCAGGCGAAACAACACAGACAACACAGACCACATCGTCAGCATGAGGTATCAAAACAAAGAACAAGATACCTGGTCAGTGCTGCCATATTGTCCGGTTTATTGGACACTACCAGTACCCGAAAATTCACACTCTCTGTCTGAATGCAGATCCCAAAAGAGCCTTTCCAATTTCGATAGAAATACTTCCTAAGACACCATCCTGTACGTCTGTGTAACAGATACTATCTCATGCCACCTTATACTATCTCATGCCACCTTACCACACAAAGACACAGTTTTACACTCGAACGTCTCCTATCCGGGCGCCTTGGGACCGGGCACTGCCTGTATCTCAGATTTGCCCGTATCTCAGGGCAGCGCATCTACCATGTATTACACCAGTTGTTGATGAAGTTTATTTGGCACGCATTGCACATGTTCCGGATAAAAAGAATCCATTGATGAAAATGTGTGGATTACACAGGTTGGCAGTGACAAATAAGCACTTGCGCATATGGAAAAAGCCCCCTCCCCCCCCCAAAAAAATCGAAGTACTTTTGCGATAGGAACTCGAGATGAACTAGCCCGGTAGAGAGACGTGCCAGTATCTGAGGCGTCCGGATAAGAGTCTTTTGAGTGTACTATTCTTTCGGTGTCTGGGAAAGGTGGTTTTTGGGGGGGGGGGGGGGGGGTTAAAAATATTGGGCAGCACCACTAGCTCCAAAACAAGAAGAAGATTGCAGAAGAAAAGTCAAGTGCACCTCTAATGTATAGGCGGCAGAATTGGCATGCGTCAATGAAGTGGTGATGATTACGTGCACGCACACATGCCGGTCCCGGTGCTTCAGCAGCAGGACAGGAACCGGTGATAACAGCAACATAGGCATCATCATCATCAGCAGCAGCAGCACCAGCAACAACATCAGCAGCAGCAGCAGCAACAACAGCATCAACAGCAGCAGCAGCACCAGCAGCACCACCACCAACACCAGCAACAACATCAGCAGCAGCAGCAGCAGCAGCAACAACAGCATCAACAGCAGCAGCAGCACCACCACCACCACCACCAGCACCACCAGTACCAGCAGTACCCGCAGGAGAATGAGCATGAGCAGCAACAGTTGCAATAGGTCTCTAACATACTGTAGAATGGCTAATGTTTAGCGGGTAATGATGGTAGCGTTTTCTGAATCTGGACCAATTCGAGATGAAATATTTCAGGGATCCGAGTTTCAGAGTTTAATAAAAACAAGGTAGTACTGTACTGTACATGCACAAATGTTCAATTAGCACATGAAAACTTTAGCGAAAACATTCCACCTACTCCCTGATGAAGCCCCAAGGGCGAAAATTTAGAGATTTCATTTGAATAAAATTTGCAGCGTCAACGACCTTTGAGTAGTGGCGGTGACTGATCGTGATACGAAAACATTCCTTTCGCTAAAATCGCTAAAAATATCACCCGCGCTGAAACTAGCCGTTTTACAGTACACACAGCGGTGCAAACCACTCTTACAGTTCTCCATCCACTGAAACCCTCGGCCTCCATGAAGAAGTAGACGAATGGCATCATGCAGAGGAGGCAGAAGTTGGAGAAGAAGAATACCATATTCCACACCACTGCAACAACACATTCAAACACAACAAGACAAGTTCAACACCACTGCAAGAAAGTACTGAAATACAAGGTATATATAAATACAAGAAGACAATAATCTTGATTTGAGTCTTCGTTTTCGCATGTGTCGATGTGCAGCTGGACAAGGGGCACCTGGGGAAAGCCCCCCACCCCACACACACCTCCAAAAGTCTTCCCTGTAGCACAGTGCTGCTGGATAAAATCCGATCGCGCGAGTCAAGTAGGCGCCGCGCTCTGTGCAGCCCTAGACCTGTGAACACTGGGATATTCACAAGTTGTACAGTACAGGGCGCAACGCTGACTCACTCCATCTGATTTCACTGAGCAGCAGTATACACTGGAGCGTGTACATGTACGCCGTACAAGGCCGGGGAGTGAAAGCTGACAGCGTATTGGTTATTGGTGAATAGTGAAAAGCGCTGCTCCGGCCATGATCAACAAAGGACGAGAACATTTGCCTGAGCAGAGTGCTCAGAAGCAGGGGGGGGGGGGGGGGGGGGGGGGGGTAACCAGAAGAACCACAGGACAAATCTGTTGATTCACCAGCAACAGCTTGTTGACATACATAGAAATACCTGGTTTGAATAGAAGCCTGATGTAAATAGAAGCCTAGCCCTGACATCGTCTTCTACAGGAATTAGCCCGGCTTTAATACGCGAAATTACGGCATATAATATTCTGTAGTGAAATCCTGTAAGAAATGCCGACTGGACTCCCTCTGATGTTACTGACCCCACCATGAGTCCATGACCACCTTTTTTTTTTAACCCTTTATGTACTGAAAAAATGTACACAGACTGAATTTGATCTCGACTCACCTCAAATTCCATAATTATCCGGGTCATAACTTTAGTCTCCTTTTGACGATTTTTTCTATCTTGGGCTTCCTGGAAAGCTCGTCGCAAGAGAAACACATTGAGCCCACGCTTGCCACCACGAAAGTCAAAACGCCAGCGCTACAGCCCAGCGTCTTAGCAGCAACGCCAACATTCCGACAGAAGTCGTCTTGCATCAGCCATTTCGCTCTCCTTGCTCGTAACAAGTAACTGTTACTTTAAAAAAAATTCACAAGCTGCCACGAGTCAGTTTGCCATTTTGAACGTGTTTCTACGTCACTGCATGCCCAGAATGACGGGGAAATCCCTCATTCAAATCTGCGCGAGCGGCTATTGAGCGACATTTGCCGCGATTCGACTTTCGAGCTTCGTAACTCTGGAACCACACATCGGAGCGCTTCAGCAATTATTTCAATGGACAGCTGGGAGTTTTCTCTTCGACCTACATATTTTAGTTTTCGGATATAACCCAGAAATGACTGAGTTACGATCGATTGAAATTTTGAAAAGTTTCGATCCCAGGGGATCGAAAGTTGTACAGTCCGTACACAAAGGGTTAAGTACTGGTATCCGTCAGTGACAGTACACACATATCTCTCTAATACGGGTAGTCCGGGACCGGGCACTGCTCATAATTCGGAAATGTCCGTAACCCTGAATCATGTACATCTTGATGGGCAAGGGCCAGAGATCTGGGATATGACATCACTACTTCAACAAAACCTGGCAAAAGAGTAATAAATATTTCCACTAAAATCTGGGGGTTAACAGTAATCACGGGGCAAGGCCGCTGTGACGTTGTTCTACACTACTTCAGCTGTACAAGCGGAGTGCTGCTCAATAAAATCCGGCAGTGTGAGTCAAGCAAGTGCCCTCCACCAGAGAACATCCCAGTGTTTGCTGGTCAAGGGCTGCACAGCACCCGGCGGGTACTTGAGTCACACGCTTGGACTTCATGGAGCAGCACTGTACATAATCCCGAGAGTACATGAAAACCAGAGCGTGCAGCTCGGATGGGTTGCTGTCACGGCGACATTCCGTGATTACATCATTTTAGTGATGTGGTGCGTACAAGCAGGATTCAAGCAGGTCTCTTTCTGCACAACTGTCGCTCAGTTGTATGCACTACGCCACTTTCCGCCTCAGATATCTGCACCAAATACGATGTAATCGCGGAATTCCGCCGTGACAGACATCCATAGTAGAAAAAGCCCCAAGCTGCACACTCTGGGCTTAATGTACTCTTGATAATACTCACACTTTAGAAGCGAGAAGTTGAGCCATTGCATATAGTAGTTATCCGGATAGCGTAGCGATATCTCGCACGTCACTATGCTGAACGGTAGCAGGAAGATGGCCGCCAGTGCCACGGCCAGGGTGAAAGTGCAGAGAAAGAGCGAGAAACGATACGGGCCATCCTCCTCCACCGAGAAGTAATCCTCGCGCTCTCGCTTGCGCTTGAAGTAGTACACGAGCTGATACGATATGCTGTAGAGGATAACGAAGAGAAGGAACAGGACCTGCACAACAAATACACACACATACACATACACACACACACACACACACACACACACACACACACACACACACACACGCGCCACGCACGCACACACCACGCACACACACACCACGCACACACGCAGGCGTACACACACAATGTCCAAACAATGCAATCAATGCCAATGCTTTTCTCGTTCCGAAAGCCAGAAGGGAACACCCCTACATATAATTATTAACAACGGGATGTAGCCACTGTTTTGGATCCATTTCCAGACACCAACAGAGACACCAACTGAGACACCAACAGAGACACCAACAGAGACACCAACAGAGACACCAACAGAATTGATTGAAGCAGAGAAAGTTCATGCACAAAGCTGTACCTGAAACTTGTACACCAAAATCCAAAGTAAGGTCAAAAGCAATAAAGAGAACAAATTCTGCAGTCATCGCCACACTACAACGAAGTCATGAAAGTTTACCAGAATTAATTTTCTTGTCACATTCATCAGTGGAAAGTCGTGACTGAAGAGTAACCATGCTGAACAATGATTAAATATACATTCAATGATGTGTTACGAGAACAAAATACAGTGCCAAAATAGAATGAGGGAAGGTGAGACAATAGAAGTGAAGTTAGAGATAAGTGCAACGGCGGGTGAGAAACTAATTATAACGCTAAAACTGTGTAGTGAGACAAACAATCATGCTGTGCACCTACGAAAACAATTTTAACGCAACTACATGTTTCTTCTGCCGACTTTCCACTGATGAATGTGACAAGAAAATTAATTCTGGTAAACTTTCATGACTTTGTTGTAGTGTGGCGATGACTGCAGAATTTGTTCTCTTTATTGCTATTATAAAATTGTTGTCTCCACGTCGATTATTTAAGGTCAAAAGGTGTGAATTATCATTACACCTGCAGCTGGTTCTGCAGTACACTCGAACGTCTCTTATCCGGGCACCTTGGGACCGGGCACTGCCCGTATCTCAGATTCGCCCGTATCTCAGATTCGCCCGTATCTCAGATTTGCCTGTATCTCAGGACAATTCATCCACCATGTATCATATCTTTTTTGAAGAAGTTTATTTGGCACCTCTTGCACATGTTCAGGTTACAGAAAGAATCCATTGATAAAATGTGTGGATTTCACAGGTTGGCGGTGACAAAAACAGCACTTGCGCATACGAAAAAAGTCCAAACACTGCAAATTCCAAGCATTTCAGACATAGGAACTCAAGCTGAAGGTGCCCGGTAGAGAGACGTGCCCGTATCTGAGGCGTCCGGATAAGAGACGTTTGAGTGTACAGTATGGCGTAGGATGATCATACTACAGTCGTCGACAAAAAGCATCCGGCCAATGCCAATGCCAATGCCGATACCATGGATACAGCGGTATGGTACGCGTTCACAGGCGGTGCTACATGGTTCCATGCATGCATGCATTTTCTGTAGATCTGTACCAGCACAGAATTGAACAACAGTCTACAGTCGAGCACTGCACTGAGTGTATGCAAGCAGGCCCCGGCAGGCAGCAGGGCACAGTCATTCCATGTGCAGTGCACTACCGCTAGTGGCTAGTAGTAGTGGTAGTGCATGAGGCCCATGTACCGACTACCGTAGTACAGCTAGCATGGCATTGACCGGATTTTTTTGGCGACGAGTGTACGATCTAATCGTGATCATTTCCCAGGTGAGAAATCAAGGTGGGACGCTTTGGACAGACAGTGTGCTCTGGTGGGATTCTACGGTAGCAGCAGCAGCAGGAAGAGGAGAAGCAGCAGCAGCAGCAGGAAGAGGAGAAGCAGCAGCAGCAGCAGGAAGAGGAGAAGCAGCAGCAGCAGCAGGAAGAGGAGAAGCAGCACCAGCAGCAGCAGCAGGAAGAGGAGAAGCATCAGCAGCAACGGCCACAACAGTAGCAGTAGACACAGCACCGCTCCACTACTACACTGCACCACCATCACCGCCACCGCCACAAGCACCAGCAGCAGCACCGCCATCGCCACAAGCACCAGCACCAGCAGCAGCACCACTACCACCAGCAACAGCACCACCACCACCAGCACCACCACCAGCACCACCACCAACAGCAACAGCACCACCACCACCAGCAACAGCACCACCACCACCAGCACCACCACCAGCACCACCACCAACAGCAACAGCACCACCACCACCAGCAACAGCACCACCACCACCAGCACCAACACCACCACCACCAGCACCAACACCAGCACCAGCAGCACCGCCAACACCAGCACCAGCAGCACCACCAACAGCAGCAGCAGCACCACCCGCAATTACTAGTATCAAGGACAATGTCCACAAGTGCAAATTTTTCGAATCACAGGGTAGAGCTACAAAAAATAAAATGTAGCGAGTGGATATTGAGCGAGTGGATATTGAGAGAGTGGATACTGAGCGAGTTTGATGATACTTCCCACGTACATGTCAGCTTTGGCCCATTGGGACCAGTCACGGGATGAGGGTTGGCCTAACACGCCACAGTATTGTCGGGCGCCGAAGAACGACCAGGCTCTTTTACCGCGCACAGCATACCAATGTATACACGGTGACTCAACTGTGCATAGACTGTAATACATGAAAATAAGAATGGTCTAGGCTAGGAGGCTGACCCCCCAGTTCTTCAGCGACCGCCAGTACTGTATTCAAGAACAAGACCAATGACAAAAATCTGTTTCCATATATTATACATGTACTATGTAAAATGCACCAGTAGCACAAGTCGTCTCCCTAGAGGCCGGCCCGCCGTGCCACCATACACTTTGTGAGCTGGGCATGACCCAGCCCTGTAAATTAAATCCGTTTGGCAAGAACCAAATAGTGCCTGTTTTGTCCCCAATTTTACAATCACGTATGTTTTTATCCGCAAGAAAATCTTCCAGTTTCCCTGATTCTTCAAACTTGGATTACGAAAATGAAAAAAATACTTGGAGTGGGTAGAAAGAAGACAGTGGTGGGTAGTAATCGAGTGCTAGTTTTGTGCCAAATAGTATGCGAGATACATACTATGGCGACAATCTAGCCGGTAACGTCCTGTAAGACGTGCAAATTTCAAGACAGTATTGGTAAAACTGGGGTACAGCTCGAGGCCCAACAAAAATAAGTCGTGTATACGTCATGCCCTATGCCCCTATAGCGCCTCTTCAAGTGCAAATGACTGCAACAGCACACACCCAAGAAGCTTTTAACTTGAGGGCCAATAGGAAATCCATCCGAGACAACAAAAGTCAAGAGACATTGCTAATTACTTATCGTCAGAATAAAGATTTGAAACATAAAAGGTTTAAAAATCGTCATCATTGTTCACTCACCAGATATTCCCTGACTGCACCGTAAAATTCCTTGTCCCTCTCCACTAGATCTGGATCCTGTACTTGTTCGACTACATCCAAAGATGCCATTCTGCTACCGCATGCAATAGAGAAGTTTGGGAGGCGACATGTCTATCGGAGAAGAAATAATTTCAACCATCGATCGCCTTTGTGTTCCATTTCCTCAGTGAAAGCAGTTTGAATCTCTCCAACAAAGCTCGTGTGCATGATGCAAATCCTGACGTGTTGTGAAAGCAATAAAAATTAATCGACGTCATGCAGTGTAGACGTCATGTCTGGACTGGGGTCTGGACTTTGTTTTCATAGCAACAGCTTTTGCGAAAAAATTCTTCTTTTTTATCGCAAACCAGTGGCAGTATACTCGTCCTGCAGTGTTCATGCATGGTGTTGTTGATTTCGCAACACATTTTTTCCAGTCAAACCACTCATCCAACTCCACAAACTAGATCCTCTTGATCAAAGTACAATGTAGTTATAAGAGGAGGACTTGAGGGCGGTGGTTTGGTGTCCGAATAGAAATCAGCTTCTTCCTAAAGTAACAGAGCCGCGTATTGGCTAGGTGGAAAGTGTCCTACTCACCCAGTTGTAGAACTGTTGTAGGACGTTCAAGCTTTTCACTATGGCGTGCGTTGGTGGTTTTGGACTAGTGAGGCAGTTCCCTTGTGCACCAGCCAAGCAGTTGGTGCTCAGCAGCCTTAGATCGAGGTAAGCTGACCTAAATAATTTCAGCAATGATATTTTGAACTCCCCAGCTCTACCCAAATATGAATATTTTTCATGAAGTTTTTTGTCAACACATTCCATGTCCCATTGAAATAACGTTATCACGCACGCCTTCTTTTGTTAGAACGCTTAGGTCCCACCCACTGTGATTGTGAGCCTGCTAAGCTCGTAACAGTTACATTGACCTCCCCCTGCTGTTGCCCCATCAACGTAGGAGTGATAGCCACTCTTGGCATCCTGTAGGCATGCGTGCCACCTGCTCGTTCTGGGACATATGGGAAAAGCCAATACACTAGACTACTATACAGTGCATAACTGTGACTGACCTAGAAGAGTCCATATCGAGATGCACATGCACTGGTAACATAGGACCTGACCCCACATCCCCCACTCTGCACTGATAATAGCGATGTCAGAGTGCCGTGCCACGCGACCTCCACGCTTGTCGCTGGATTCCCTAGCAACCAGCTGAAATGATGGCACAAAAGGCCAGTACGGCAGAATGCCAGTCGCGGCTAGTGCGTGCAGTACTTGGCACGCGGGATATTCAAATGTGACCTGAAGACGTCAGTGACAAGCTTGGTCGTGACTATTGCCATGAAAATAGAAGATGAACTTTCGTATCCGCGTTTGTGCGGGCGCGCTGCGCCTACGGAGCTGGGAGTATGGCCGCCGACAAGTTAGCGTATGTTCAGTCGCCTTTTCATCTCTTGCACTGTGTGACTGAAAACTCTCCTCCCGGACTCCGCAGCAACACAACCGGATAGGACGGGAATATTATAATTATTAGGACTGAACAAACATGAAACGGGAAGTACAAAAAGGAAAAGACTACATACCAGCCGCCATCAAAATCGGGCTCAACACAACAACCGGCACTACATCATTGCGCAACAACTTTGGAGCATGCGCATGCTTGGCCAAGTCCTGTTACCATGGGACCACTCTATCACACTCCTCCGCCTGGTAACAGGGAAATTGTATCACCAAAGTGAACGGGCAAAGAAACATTCCAAGGGGACAAAAGTGGAAAGAAGGGACACAAAATGCGGGAAAGAAGACAACGGTCTCGCAGATGGACCATACACACAGATATACATAAAAGATGGCAAACAGCAAGTGAAGGGCAACCATACCGGAACCGAATAGAAAAGAGAATACCCACGCAACCAGAATAGATGCGGCACGAGCAGCCACAAAGCATATGGTGCAATGTACCGTCACACGAAAAAGTCCAGAATGACACATGCAGTACATGGAAGAGGAAACGGAGACTAACGAGCGAGCGGCATTGGACAAAACAGATTTTGCACCAAAACTAGAGACACACACACAGTGGTAATAGGACTCTACAAGGCATGTCATATGGATGCGGGAAAGGCCAGAATAACCAGCAAGAAACTGCAGTAAATGAACACAACGGTGTGAGTTACGTACGGAACCGACCAGGGACCTGCAGACTGGAACGGTCGCGCAAACCATAGCCATGGACGGGCGTGTCAGGCATGGCATCATGTACGGGGGGCGTCTGCAACACGAGCTGGACAACGGGGTCCCGGTCGTCAGCCTCCACTGCCGCCGGCGCGTCGGCAGGGCCATGCGCATCAGGAGCCTGTGGATCTCTCTTCAGCAAATCTACGTTCACCAGCTTGGAGCGACCATCAGCTGTGGCAATACGGACTGTCGACGGGGAGATGATGCGGATTACGTGCCATCCAGATTCAAAGGGGGTGAGAATCTTCGAATGCCGCTCCGGACGCCGAAGAAGGACGGCAGTGTCAACGGGGTATGGACACTCGGGCACGGGAGCATCGAGGAAGTCAAGCCGTGCTAGCTCAACTTCGAGGTGATCGCGCAGGCGGGCAGACTTCCGCTGCAACTTGTCCACCCAGGCGCTGTCGGACAGTTCAGTGGAATCTTGTTCGATGAGAAGACGGTGAGGCTGCCAGCCGTGCATGGCTTCCATCGGGCTAATCTTCGTAGCGGTGTGCGGGCGAGAACGGTAGTGGAACAACAGAAGCTCGAGGGCAGTCTCCCAGTCGTCATCATCCTCGAGCGTCTTGCGGATGATCGTCAACAGCGTCCGGTTGAAACGTTCCACAGAACCTTGTGACTGGGGATGTCGAACAGCGCCCCGCTGGACCGTGACGCCAAAGGACTTGAACAGGGCTGACACAATGGCATTGACGAACTCAGTGCCATTATCGCTACGCACAACCTCAGGCGCGCCCCATCGTGAGCAGATAGAGACCATGGCAGCAGCGACCTCCGCTGAACAGTGGCGCTTCATCGGGACAACTTCGACCCACTTGGTAAAATGGTCGATGCAGACGAGTACGTAGCGGTAACCAGAACGGCTGACACCAAGCTCCAAGGTATCGATGGAGACAACACTCCAGGGGCCGTTGGCGGAGACAGGTCGTGTCGGTGGCACACCGGGGCCACCACGAGGGTTTGCAGCCGTACAGGGGGGACAGCGGCGGATGAAGTCCTGACACTTCTCGGCCATGTTGGGGAAGTAACAGACACCCCGGAGAAACCGCCACATGACCTCCCAGGAGGCGTGGCCAGTCTGTTGATGGGCACCCCGAAGAACGAACTCTTCGATGTCATTCGGCACGACTGGTACTGACATGACCTCGTTAGGGGGTAGCTTGACGCTCCGCATCAGCACGCCATCCACGACGGTCAATTGCTGCTGAACACGCTGGAATGCCGGCGAATGGACAGCATGGCCGGCCACAAGGTCCTCGACGACAACCGGAATCACCTCGTCCTGCTGCTGCGCCGCGGCAATCTCGCCCAGGGTTAGGACACGCCAGGCGGCATCATCAGCGACAGCGGCGCCAACGACATCGGCATCACCAATCGGGCCAGACATCTTCGCAGTCTGGCGGGCAAAGCAGAGGAACGGCGGTGGGACACGTGTGAGCTGATCAGCAATGTTTTGCTGTGTGGGTACCCAGACCACGTCAACACTCATGCCGGACGAGTCGACGATATCGAGAATAACCTGCAGCCGGCGTTGCACGAGGACTTCGTGCAACCCACTGACGTGAACCCGCTTGATGTTGTCGAACAGAGAACGCAGCCACCCATGCACCGTCTGGGAGTCGGTCATTATGCACAACTTCGGGATACGCCAAGACGACGCGAGAGTGAGGCCCTTTACCACGGCATCTAGCTCGGCGACGTTGATGTGGCGTTTATCGGTGGCACCGCGGAGCCACGACTGGTCTTCGAGTACAGTACCATCAGCTTCGAGCACGACACCGTAGGCAATGCTGGAGGCGTCGCACCAAACACGCCAGTCTTGGGGATCGTCCGCAGTCCAGGCTCCATGAACAGGGTCGTCGCCCTCCACACGCTTTGCCGCATCGTGGCAAAGGTCGCACAACTCCTGGGGGACAGCTGCATCCCAGGCATCCGTTGTTGCAGACGCCAAGCGCTTCAGCCAGCTAGCCAAAGGGCGCAGATAGCCACAGACCGGATAATGACCAGTCAGTTGACCACACCACTGGAATACATTCCGCTTAGTCATCTGGGTAGGAGGGGGTTGCAGTGGCTCGCGTCGCTCCCACTGGCCATCGTGCGTCTGCAGACCAAGGACGCGAGTCGCATCAACGTCCACAGCAGGTTTCGTAGGCAATCCATGGGCGGTCAGCGCGTCCGCAAGGGCCTCCGCCTGATCTGTCGGCGTGATGATGTCATCAATGTAATTATCGGTGTCGGTGAAGTCACGGGTCACCCATTTCACAATAGTGTCCAAGACTTTCGGCGCAATGGCAAGGCCAAAGCCCATGCGCTCCATCACGTACTGTCGTCCTTGCCAAACGACCATCTGGAACCGCTGCTGGGTTGGGTGGATGCGAACATTCAGGAAGGCCTTACGGATGTCGACAATCTTGGACGCGCCTTTCCGTTGCCGCCACTCGCGAAGCTTCTCAGGGCACGCGGGTGCCTCCCGACCAGGGCTGGAGATGATCCGAACGTTCAGCGCACGGTAGTCCAAACACGGACGCACGGGTGTGGTAGGCTTATGTTCCTGACACACAGCCAACAGTGGCAGTACGGCGCCTGGTGGACCATGTCGATCAGCATCATACGGTACAAGCCATCCCTCCGCCAGCCAAAGGTCAATCTCGGCCTGGAACTTGGCCTCCTGCTCCGGTGACAACTTCTGGCGGGAGTATTCGCCAATACCAGAGCCAATAGGGGCTTGCGGTGGTGCGCCTGCCGACCAACGCCATTGGACTTCCCAAAAACCACGCTCGGCGTCGAAGGCGACCTCAGCATCACCCATGGACAGGGTGACATTCGGCCCATCTCGTGACACAGAGACATCGCGTGGCAACTTAGCAGAGCTCTCCGGGTTGTCAGACTCGGACGTGGTATCGGATGCAGTTGACGGATCACGCGGGCGACCAAACCATACGGTTGCGAGGACACCATCGGGGGCATAACCAAGGTGCACGCCACCCACGGAGGAGATAATGTCCAGTCCCAGAAGGATATCAGCGTCAACCACATCCAAGGTGTCGACAACGAGGAAATCAGCAGTAACTTCAGGCAGGTGCACTTTGTCATCGTCACGATGAACAGTCAACCGGACTTGCCCAGACACCACAACTTCCTGCCCATCGATGGCGGTAATGCGCGGGTTGGACTCTACGAGCTGAACGGGTACACCCAACTCGGAGACAACGCGATAGCTGATCAAGGACTTACTAGAGCAGGAATCCACGGCAGCACGCAGCCTGGCCTGGCCCTCACTATAGACATGAATCCTGGGCAGCGACGAACAGGGACTTGCCACGACACTGAGGCAGGCATTGCCCGTGGTCGACGAGCCCGAGCCCGCAGCACAGGCGGTACTAGTGGGCGTCTGAGAAGAACTGGCACCACCACTAGACTTCAGCTGAGGGCACTGACGCTTGACATGGCCGGGCTGCTGACAATGAAAGCAAACAGGAGGACGTCTC